CCCCAAAACCCCAAAACCCCAAAACCCCAAAACCCCAATGAGTTCAAAAAATGTTGAATTCTATAGTTATAAACTATGTCTTCCTCTTGGGAGATAAAATAGAATTTGATATTCTTAAGTATACTTAACTGCTAATAGATAAATATACTGTTTTGGGAAGAAGACTTTACTGCTAGTTTTCTTAGTATAAAATCAAAAGATTATTTTTTATTAGTTTTGATCCAGTTTGTTATAAACCTTAGAGATTAGGTATTTCACATATCAAAGCCAGAATGAGGTATCTATACAGTCATTTTATATCATAAATGCTTGAATCTATCATTATCATCTATAATAGGACATTGTTAGTCCCTTCCAATATGATAAAGCTTCCTAAAACTCGAGCTACCAGAGCTTTCTGAAGCATCTGAGAATCCTAACCAATGACATACCAATCCATATTTTGACGTAAGCAGCTGCTTAGAGTATGGCTAATCCCGATTGTGTCGTATTCAGTAATGGTTTCTCATTTGCCAACTACTATGCCTAAAATAATTACCTAAAAACCAAAAGGTTTTGGAAATGCCTTTCCAACCAATTTAATAAATGGCTGCAATTGGAGTCACACCTCTTTGGCTTCAGTTACTTAACTTTTGTTAACTGTTTAGAGGCCAAAACTTGTCCAGTAATCGTAATGGCCACTTGGAAAGTTCCAGGCAATTATTGGGGTTTCTTTTGGGAGATTAAGGCTGAAACTGGGAAATTTGAGCTAGTAATCATTCTAAGTTAAACAGTGCAATTGAGATTTTGGGTGCTTTAGAGAAGAGAATGCGGAATTTTTGACAAGATTTGAAGATTTTATATTTTCAAGTGTGAGTCTTCAGCTTCAACTACAGAAAACTGATAAATAAATTGTTCATTTTCGGAAGCTAATGTTATCTGCGGTAAAGGATAAGGTTAATGTTAGTAACTTGATTTCAAAAAGAGCTAATTTATGTAAATTGTTTAGTGTAATTATGATATCTGTTGCAAAACATTTCAGAGCTTCAAATCTCCTTATTAAAGAGTTTATTAGAAGGACACCAAAATTATAATACTTATGAACAATTAGTATATACTTATTAGAATAACTTATTATGGGCACTACAGTGTATTAGGCAAAATGGCATCTAAGTCTATAGGTCTGACTCCTAGTAAGTATATTAAAGGCTCTGTTCACTTTAAAAACTAAGGACTCATGAATCTTCTTCTATCTGTTGTATATGTTAGTATCGAAATCCTGCCAATCAGACATTGTTTTCTCACTAGAGCACTAGCCCTGACCTGATCTCCTCTGTTGCTTCCCTTTCTTTTATATAAATCACTGAATGGCTCAGAACAAAATTCTTTACTTCTCCAGAGCCCTTAATTATCTTCAAGGCCAGAAAGTTGGATTTGATTCCAATAAGCGAGCGTGCTTTGGTTAGCAACATTAGCATTTCTTCTATGATCATTCTTGACTTTGGAGGGATCTCTTTACAGTCCCTTTGCCATCCTTCAGTATTATATTTATGTTTATAAAACTAAAAGAATTTTTGCAACCTAGAAGAAGCCTCTTTCTTTCATCTCTTTGGATACCTTTTTGCAAGTTTTCTAGGTATTTAATAGAGTTTTAGTTATATGGGTTGCTAGCAGTTGGGCCATTAATACTCAGTTGAAGTGAAATGTTTGCCTTGGTCTCATCAATGGAGAAGCATGTAAAATATGCGTCATGTAATAATTCTGAAACTTCTCTTAATATTAAAAGGAGTCAATAAGTAAATAAGTTTTCACGGTATGTACTTAACGAGGGATCTTTTTCTGTTTTATATATGAGCCACAAGGTCAGAACTACTCGGGTGCATGTAATGTACAAAGTAACCTTCAACATTATTACTCTCTTTTCCTTGCTATCCTACTCCTCAAATAGGTTATCATCAGTATCGCTCTGTTCATGATTCCATAACTATAGTTCATTATTCTCCCCAGGATCTTCATGCAGAGGAACTTCCTTATTGGGAGAAGGATTAACTTCTGATGCTTCAAGACAGATTGCATCAGCGTTACAGGAAACTTTGGCTATATTAAAATGAATGGCTTCTTGGAGGTTCTTGTTCTATTCCTCGATCTTAATTGAAAATTTTGTTTCCTCTTCGGATGATATTATTTAAAGCTTTTCATTCTTGTGGGTTTGTAGTTGGTTGGAATTACCCTCCGCATTTTGTTAGGCTGCAAATCTGGCTTTGGATTATTAAAATTTCACTTCCTATTTTCTAGCTTAAGGACATTTGGTTTGCAGAGCTTGAAAAAATATAGTCGGATTTTAATTCAGTTTTGAAGAAGTTATTCAAAGTCTTTAATGCAATATTTGCAAACAAAGCCGTCTTTTTCTGTATTTTTCATAGTTACTTTGGTCCTGCATTCTACATTGACTGCTAAAGAAACTTCTCCTTAAAAATTGGCTACAACTTGGCAAAAGTTGATTGTATTTTCTGTGAAGATGTTGTGTTTTGAAGATCTGGCTGCTCTTTGTTAATTACCGCTCATATTTTAATAAAAAAATTATCATTTAAAATGAATTGGATGGGGTTTTGGGGTTTTGGGGTTTTGGGG